AGGGAGCTGAAAGTACGAGTTCCCAAGCATCAGCCACCAAACCTTAATGACTTGGAAAGGATCTGCCAAGAGGAGTGGGCCAAAATCCCTCCTGAGATGTGTGCAAACCTGGTGGTCAGCTACAGGAAACGTCTGACCTGTGTGATTGCCAACAAGCGATTTGCCACCAAGTACTAAGTCATGTTTTGTGAAGGGGATCAAATACTTATTTCCCTCATGAACATGCAAATCAGTGCATAATTTGTTAGACATGCATTTGTTTTGAATTTTGTGTTGCTATTCTGTCTCTCAGTGTTACAATACACCTACCATTCGATTGTTAGACTGATCATTTCTTTGTGAGTGGGCAAACATTCAAAATCAGGAGGGGATCAAATCCTTAGTTCCTTCACTGTATATATATATATATATATATATATATATATATATATATATATATATATAAACACACAAGCACACGTGTGTATATACACATCATGTGTATTAATTACATAGTTTACTTATCAAATTTTTTTATTTTAATTATTTATGTGTTCCTATGAGCTCATTGATAAGAATACACCCACAATGCACTCAGAAATTCAGACCTTTTTTAATACAGATGAACTCGTGATATAATTTTGCATTCCCAGGGAACCCTTGCTAATATACTTTATCTACTGCTCACAGTACATTAGTGTGATAATCACTGGGAAGAACACTCCTTACATTTGGGGTCAATGTGGAGAATCACCCCTTTTCTGAAATCTAAAAAGATCATTGTCAGTGGTAACTTAGCTTGCTGATTGCTGAAGGAACCCCTAGCATCCTTTGGAGGAAAAAACAAACAAAAATTCCCAGCTTACCTAATTTTTGGCTGTTTTTTGACGTATGTTGCCCTTCCATATGCTCCTTACTGCAAAAGCTAGTTATAGGTTGGGGTCATTGCCCTTTGTTTGAACCTTTGTAGGTATCATGGGGTTCCACAGAACCCTAGTTGAGAAAGGGTGCTTTAGAGTAAGGGCTCATGCACACGGGGCTTAAAAAAACCCTGCTTATACAGGCATTCCTTGGTCCTTGTTTATGAGTTTGCTTTCTGGACATTTTTGCATATAAAACTGGCCATACACAGAGCGAATTTGGAATGGTTCAGCAGGACTAGGTTGTATTTCAGTTAGTGTGCAGTCATCCCTGCTCAACAGAAGTTGATCATTTGGTTGACGTTTGTCAAAGGGACATGCTCGAAATTTTTTCTTGTCAGTGCAGCTGTCAGAATACAATGCCGGGGGGGGGGGGGGGGGTTCCTCATTTCACCTCATTTGTGTGGGTGAAGGAATCTGTTAGTTGTTTTCATTCCACTGACTGAATAAAAAGAAAAAAAAAAAGAAAAACTAACAGGGTATGGTCAGCTTCATTCTGAACATGCACTCTGCTGTGCAAAGTATTTTTCTCATTTAGATGATGTATTACAAATAGCTGTAATGCAAATAGGCAATTTCCCATACAAACCACAAAATTAAACTTAAACAAAGATTGTGAAAGAGTGCTCCATAATGGTTTTCTTTGTATATATGTCATCTGTTACAAACACTAGGACTAGGACTGTCAGTATTTACCGGTTTTAAATGTTTTCATTGTTACTTGCATGTTTTATGTAAGCTATGATAAGAATTCAAATATATTATAATTATGACTATATTGTATATCTCTGTAATTCCTGGACTTAAGAAGATATCATGCCTGTTCATTAATACATGATAAATTCCTCCCTAAGGTGTAATTTAACAGACTACCTCTGTCTGCTCCACACTCTAGGAGACCACTGCAGAGTTTACTTTCCAAACGATATTCTTTAAAATAATATAAACAGTTCATTTCCATTGCCAACATAAACTGCCAGAGTGACTTTACTTTAGCCATGCACAAAATCTAAAACTTTCCTGCACTGCACCTCTAATGTGCACCTACAATTTGCTGATCCCTTCAGTATGCCAATCTCTGCATTTTATTATTGACTTTTTTTTTTATAATATATTCTAATTATATTTTAGTAATACAAAATATACATTACCCAAAACATACAATATATGTACAGTATATATATATATATATATATATATATATATATATACTGTACATATGTTGTATGTTTTGGGTAACGTATTGAAGGGACCAACGTCAAACATAAAGCTTGCAGATGGGTAGTATAGGTGTCTAAGAGCATATATGGTCTTCCTACCCGTGTTTATTCAAAAGGGTTTCCCCAACAGTGGTCTGTTTCAGCGCAATACAGTATACAGCAAAATATTCAGCCTCCTGACTGCTTATATGATATTTTTGGGGTGATTTAGTAAACCTTGTGCGCACAGAATCTGGTGCAGCTGTGAGATGGGGAAACAGCTCTCATTGTTTGAACACTGTTTATGTGGAGTAAATTAAATGTTCTGGACTGACATTCTGCGGTTTAGCCACAAGATGCCACTGTTTTCCTAACACAGCCTCCGACTGCATAGATATTTCTATATTCATGAAGAGGTGGGGTTTTCACACAGAGTTTAGAGAACAGGAAGAAGAGAGACAGCTGCCATGTTTGGGAGGATGGTGAATGAAGGAGCAGTGTGAGCAGAGAATCTGATGGCATCCAGGTGTGAGAGCATCCCTCAGTAACCAGAGCTGCAGCTAAGTGAAGCTGATCGTGTCCAAGACCCTGATCCTGTTCAGAGAAAGGAAGATTACTGCTAGGAATGCTGATGAGAGCAGAGGAACAAAGCAACATACACTGCGATATCGCATGCTTGCTGGAGAGACATTTGTTCTGTTCAGAGTCACCAGCGGATGCAAAGCAGACCCGGGTCGGTAAGATCGTGCACGCACTTCATTTCAGTGTTGGCGCCTAGAGACTGAGACCAGGCCTATAGTTAGTTAGTTAGGGTCTCTGTTTGTGTCAGGCCACAAGTGTTATTACTGATCATTGGAAGGACTCCATAACTTAAAGTGACATTTCACATTGGAGAGCTGATAAAATCCTACAAACTCAAGCCAGACTGGCGTTTTGCTCAGAAGGAATACTCGGGGACATGCTACAGGACCAGTTATGGGAGGGGGAATACTGTAGATTTGTGTAAGATTGTAAACTGTTGTGCTGCACCGCAGGCTAGCCCATACCGTACACCCATACACTGATTCCTGCTCTTTTAGGGTAATAACGGGTAAGGTGTGGCAGCTTAGTTGTGCCCACCAGTAGGTAAATTACTACACCTTCTACCTTCATCCATCAGGATGCGCCGTGCTGTGCAGCACAAGGGTCTCAGCCTTTGGGCTGGGTGTATGTAAATTTATTGTATGTTTCCAGCATTTGTGGTTGTGTTTATTTGCCACATCTAAGTAAAATTCTGTTGTGGCAAACGCTGGTGTTGGGGTTGCTTTCCTCGTTCGTGACTTCACTGTATCCTGGGGAGCCCACCCCGGTACCCGGCTTACACAGCTGTGCAAAATAGCTAATCAGGTTCTAGGTTTTATTGTCAAAGCTTAAAGTTTTACCAAATCAAGGACCCTGCATTCACTATATCTTGTCTCCCACAGTACACATAACATGAAACTGCAATTATTATAGTAAATAAAAACTGCTAAATACATTTTCTCCTTAGCAGTTAGAGCAGTCTTGTGACTTCTAACGGTGTCCAGCTGAGCACTGATTAAACCTAGGAGGAGTGTTCATTCTGCTCTGACTGTCCTATGAGGCTGCATGACCCCTGACCCTCTGTCTGGACAGCGCTGATTGGCCCTGTGCTGATCACATGCACCCGCTCAAAGAAAAAAAAACTCTCTAGCAATACACACCAAACTGAGCATGTGCAGAGTAACTCCTGGGGCTTTGTACTATCAGCAGATGGATTGGGGACAGTAGAAGAAGGGGAGAATCAGAGAAGATAGGATCATACAGCCTTTTTACAAAATATAGAGGATTAACCCCTTAGGCTCCTCAGTGAGTATAACAAGCATGTTTTGCTGCATATACAAATTGATTTTACTGTTGCTGGTTTAGTAACACTTTAATTGAACAAGCTGAAGCTAGAAGCTGATTGGTTACTAATCACAGCTGCACCAGATTCTGTGTGCACTAGTTTTAGTAAATCTCTCCCTTTGGGTCAGCCTGGACCTACAGGCTGCTCCAGCATAGAATGCATGCAATCTCTATCTCTAAAGCCTTATTTAGAATAGTAAAGTAGGGCTGATAGTTTGCCATGTTCACAGGCAGGTAAATGCTGCCTCTAGATGCAACTGCACTCTTTTCCAAGGCCAAATACAAACTGGCCGATTAGCTGCAGCGAGTTTGTATGCAGACAGATATGCCCTGGATGCAAATGATCTGTGTCCAGGATTGGTCAGTGGCTCAACTCGCATGTAACTTCTTGGATGGGTGGTAAAATGTGAACAGCAGCACGCCAGCCATTGATTTGTATACCGTACAAATCTGACAGCTGCTACTGCTGATCCCTGCTGTTTGCATTGGTGGCAAAGTGGTGACCTGGCTGTATTGCTTAACTGTAGGTCACCAACATGGCCCTGTTGTCTGCAGATCTGTGTAACTCTCAGTGATAGATGGACAGGAATATAAATCCTTTGGCAGATAAGACAGCGACCATGTATGTATTAGAACTGTGCATTTAGAGGTTTGTGTGTGTTTGTAACACCTTTAAAGCTCTTAATCTACAAAAATATCACCTAAATCTTAGTATGTAGCACAGCAGTCATAGCAAATATCATAGCATACAGTATATTTAGGAAAAATATATATAGTGCTAAAAAAGAAATGCAGATGGATCATATTAATCGGATTGGGTCATATATAGAGACATCCCAGCTCTCTAATTTCCAGTCTTGCTGTGGATTTTCAGCTAGTATTATATTGGCTGTCTTGTGAACATACGAATAGTGAATGTGTCCAGACACAAGCTATAAGTTGCATTGGATAGAATGAGATAAAAAAAATAAATGTATGAACTGCTTATATAACTTACTTGAACAAGAGCCATCTGGCATCAACATGTAGCCATTAAGACAATAACACTTGTAGCTGCCATGAGTGTTCATACACCGATGTTCACAGGGACGAGGCTTAAGACCACATTCATTCAGATCTGCAAAAGACATTTAATTCAGAAATATGTGAACACATACTTTTTCAGCGGTTTTATTGCTGAGCCAAAGATTTTGAGCTGGAAAGTGAAATGAGGTCAGCAGCAGTTCATGCGGCTTACTTGGACTCACTGTAACTTCAACCTGCACTGCACTATAAACACCTATGAAACAGACTTGCAGCTAATTAAGAAGAAATCATCAACAAATTGCAATGCAAGGAATCATAGATATATAATTATGCAAATAAAAGGATACCAGACATTCATATTCGGGAAATCAATAGAGCTGATTAAATGAAAATAATTCATTAGTTTTAATTAATCAGAAGTTTAACAGAAGGGTTTTTTTTAACTGATTTTTTTTAACATATACAAAAAATACAATACAGCATGTACCATGGGTTGTGAACATAAAGTTTACAGACAAACAAAGCAGCCACTACCTCTCCCAGGAGGAGCATGGCTATGATGAGCTTAAGATTTCCCCTACAATAATTGTGAAACAACACTGTATATAACAATGTAAAGTTGTCTATGATTTGAAAATTCTTAAAAAGAGAAAAAAAAAAGGAAAACCAAAAAGAACACCTACATCCAGTGGTCCAAAAGGAAAGCCTCCAGGGTTCATATGAAAACAGGGTAATAGAGATTACTTAGACAGTTTCCCCATGTAGAAGAAATACATGCCACTATCCTGTGAGTAACATAAAAGTAAGAGTTGAGTCCTATACATACAGAACATGCAATATCCAGTTAATGCTTAGAAAAGAAAAGAATTATTTAGGTATCCGGCCCCGCACAGGTGTCAAATAGCTCTGTCCATGGGCCCCATATTTTGTCAAATTTGTGAGGGCATCCCCTGGCCTCATAGGTCAGCCTATAGATGGGTAGTTGTTGTTTAAACAGATTTTTCCATAGACTAACAGAAATTACTGTGAATGAAGAGAAACAATTGGAGTACCACTGTTTTCCTGGCATAAAATAACAGATAGCAAAGAAATTGTTTCCGGTAGGAGCTTAAATCTATATTTTCTAGCACCCCTAATATACACCACTTCGGATTACACATATTCGATTGATCAAAATGTGTGGCAAGAACCTGGGTAACGTGTGACCAAAAGGGTCAAATCTTTTCACATCTCCAAAGCATGTGAAGAAAATCTCCCCTATAATTATGACATTTATGACATACAGGACTATTCTTGTGCATCTTAAAGTGCCAAAGGGGTGTATAATAAATTCTGTGAAAAATAAGCAATTGAATTAATCTGTCCCAGAAATAGTAGTAGTGAAATAATTATGAATGCGTTCATCCCAGTTATCATCTGAGAGGTCTGGGATATCATGGGGTTTATTTACTAAACCTGGTTGACTCAGAATCTTTTCCACTTCTGCATAAAAACCAATCAGCTTCCAGGTTTTATTGCTGAAGCTTAACTGAACATTTGAGGTTAGAAGCTGATTGGCTACCATGCACAGGTGCCCAAGATTCTGAGTCAACCAGGTTTAGTAAATAAACCCCCATGTGTCCAATGGTTTTGTAGGACATGTAAACAGAGTAGGATTAAAGTACCATAATAAGAAGAGATAAGCTTAGAATGTTCAGAAGGCAACAGTGTTTTTTCCAGTAGTGAGTTATTAAATTGAACTTCCCTGAGTCCTAACTGAGTTGTGGATGCATGTCCTAATTGAAGGTACCTGAAAAAAAACATGTTTCCAGAACCTGAAATTCTAGTTGTAAATGGGAGAATTACTTAAATGTACCACCATCATACAATTGATGTGCATATTTCAAACTCTTCTGTGCCCACAGGTGTGCATCCAGTAGGGTGAGGAATTGAGGAAAGGTAAGGTTAAACCAAATTGGTTGATTAGGTGAGACGGAGCAGGAGGTATCAGGCAACATAGAAACATATTGACGATATACTTTAAGCAATAATTTCAACAGATACATCCCACCCCCAGATGGAGTAGTTTGTCTATAGATTAAATTTGTCAGTGTTTCATAGGAAGAAAACTAGGGCTGCTTCTACAGCCTTAGCTGCATTATTTAATTGCGGGAAAAGCCAACAGTGTATAAAAACAAGCTGAGAGGCAATATAAACATAAATTCGGTAATGCTAAACCCCCTTTGTAAAGTTGGTAAATGAAGCATGGTTAAAGAAATCCTTGGGGGCCTGGGGTACCAAAGGAAGGAGGAATGAAGAGATTATACCTCTGTGAAAAACCGTTGGATAGAATATATAGAAATTTAGGTAGAAATACCATTTTAAAAAGATTTATCCTCCCTAACAAAGTTAAAGGTAGTGTTTTCCAACTAGCAATATATGTTTTAAGTAAAGCAATACAGGGAGACAGATTATTAAGAACGTACATGGCTAGGGGTAGCTGTATTATGATCCCCAATTATCTAAAAGAGGTAGTAACTTGTAAAGGGCAATCTGGTGGCAAAGCAAGAGTCCACTGCAAACATATTGGACTTGGACCAGTTGACACGGAAGCCAGAGAAGGTGCCAAAGTCTTGTACAAGCATTAACATCACATTGATTGTATTTTGGGCATCAGAAAGATAAAGTAACATATCATCTGCATAAAGGGAAACAAGTTTATATTTACTAAAATAATTCTTCTCGGAGACAAGAGGGAAGCGTTTGTACCTCAAATATGGATCTTGTAAAGAGAAAGTAGCCTAGGGAGTAGGGAGTTTCGGTGTGCTAAATACCAATCTATTGGAAACCCGCCAGGCTGCAGGGTATTATGCTTAGCAAAGGCTTTTATAGCTGTCTCAATCTCCTCTATAGTAATTGGTGCATCAAGAGTTAATCTTTGATTCAGAGAAAGTTTGTGGAAGGGGATAGAAACTAAAAATTCATAAAGCTCAGGCGGGGTATAATGTGCTTGGGATGTATAGAAGTCTGGGTAAAACTGGACAAAGGAATCCATAATTTGTTCCTGTTAGGAACGGAGGATAGTAGCACCATCATAGATACTAGAAATAGTAATAGGGTCAGGTATTGGTTTGGCTAGAAAGGCCAGAAGACGGCCATTCCTATCCCCCGACTCAAATATCCTTTGTGTTTGGTATATAAACGCCTCTTTTTGGTTCTATCAGCCAAAGCCAATTCAAGCCTTTCATAACTGATAGTTCATAAGAGTAGGATCTAATATATAGGTTGCCTCAGCTTCTTGTAATTTGCCCGATAAGTCTAGTAAGCATTCATTATTAGCTTTCTTAAGAGTCATAACACCAACCATATGTGCACCACTAATTACCGCTTTGAAAGCATCCCAGCAAACTAGGTCAGAAACCCCTTGGGCATTTTCTGTCCAGTAATGGGAGATAGCGTCAGCACAAGTATAGAGAACTCTATGTTCCATGAGCCAATAGGGACTCATGCTCCAAACCTCAGTTATTGTGGATTTAGATAATTGGAGCACAAGTTCTAAAGGGGAGTGATCAGAGATGCTATAGGTAAGTATGTCACAGCAGTGACTTTATTAAGTAGGGTAAGGGCCAGGAAAAACATATCCAATCTGGATAGAGAATTATGAGATTCGGACTAACAGTAATGTGCTCTATGACCATGGAGTTTCCACCTCCATACCCCTACCAGGTTATATGTTTCCGCCCAGTCTCTCAAGCATGAAGAGTGACATGTAGAGCTGTGTAATCTATCCAAAGTGGGATTAAATAACAATGTTAAAATCCCCCTATAATAATGGACCCTTGAGTCACAGCAATAATTACCACCATACAGGTATATAAGCTTTGTGCATCAAAGGGTAGGGGGAGGTAAATATTCACAATTGTATATAATACTTCCATAAAGCATAAAACCACCACTACAAAGCAACAAAGTTTAGTGTTTTTAACTGGCACTCACCCAGCACTTAAAAAAACACACACATACCTTTGATCCAATGTTCTTCTGGCTAGTTAAATGATGTCACCTTTCCTTCCTCCTCTCTTTTGGTGGAGGTGGGGTCCACACTGCTGCACTGAATGGCACTCACGTAATGACATGCAGTGCAGAAATTCTTTGAGGTCAAGCTCCGTGGTGATGCTACTGTTGGGGTGGATCTATGAAAGTCCAGCCTTAGAAGAAGTGGGTTGGATGATGTTGGTCATCATTCAACCCAGAAGACTAAAGACATCTAGAGGTAGAACATTACTGTGGAGCACAGCTCCAGACTGAGGGTGAGCATTGCAGCAAAGACTGCTTTTTTATTTTATCTTTTAAAGGGCTAATTTTGAAAAACATTTTTGCTAGAGGCCACATATGAATTATATATAGCATGAGAACCAATTAAGCCCATGCAAAAGATTTAAAGATTTAAAAAGATTTTAAATATAGAAGGCTTTTGGGTCCCATATTTATTTTGAGTTACTGTAACTAAATTCAACTACGAGGGGAAAGGGAGTTGCATAGACATGGTCTTCAGTAATATATACAGTATATGTATGTATCGAGGGAAAAGAAGGCAGGAATAAAAGTGGGCTGTGCTCCGTCAGATTACATTTTTTAACTTCCCCGAGTATAAAATGTAAAATTTGAATGACCACTCTGGGTGACAAAGCAAATTGTTGCTCTTCATTTCCATTTGTTTTACATAGATCCCACAAAAGCCCAGTACTTATTTTAGCAATCAAAAATGCTAGAACAATTTATTTATTATTATTATTATATAGTGTTTTTATAGCGCCAATAGGTTTGCTCAGCGCTGTACAATAAAGTGGGGGGACAGTACATGAGACAATACAGTAACAATACAATACATGGGGGGTTCGAGGGCCCTGCCCTTTTGAGCTTACAATCTAGGAGGGAGGGGGTAGAGGTACAGGAGGAAGTGGCTGTGGGGGATGTAGTGGTAGGAGGAGTGAAGGAGAACGGCTGTTAGGTGAGGGAGGGGTAGGCTTCCCTGAAGAGGTGGGTTTTCAG